AAAGCTACTACTTTCACGTTTGGGAGCCCGCTGAGAAATTTGATCTAAGCTATGTATTTTGACTGATCCCAGCAGCGGGCTCCCCTGTTGTTTGCCAAATAAAGTACCTTTACCAATTTTATATGTTGTGTCATAAATTGGAGACAATTGTTTGCTTTTTTGGCTTTTCACAAGAATATAAAGCTGGCAATCATCATAATATTCACGTCCGTACGTACGTCACGGAATGTACACCAATCGTACCCCAAAATGCATTCAATTTTGTAGAAACTGGAGAACTTACCTTTGCAAACACGTCTCTTATGCCGCCTTCTTGAAGTTCTTGAAATCAAATAAGGTTACTAGTTCTTCTAGTAACGAGTGAATGAGACCACTGAGCCGAACAGAATACATGTATAAACAGTACTATAATAAATTGCACGCAATGGAGAAATCACGTGCTGTAGCGTTACTCACAGATCTAATCTACTGTAAAATATTTTATTTCAGCTGGAATTATCATTCGCTGGATTTTATTTTAACTGAAACATTCCTTCAGCAAAAATAGCAAAAAAATGTTGCAAGCAAAAATAAAGTAATTTACAGTAATTAATTTATTCTGAGCATGCGCAGACGTTCTGTCAATGTTGCCGGAGAAGGTAATTTTTTATAAAAATCGTGAAAAAGACCCACTTTGGATTTTCAGATCTGGAAAAAAAATTACATGCATACTAGGAAGACACTTGTTCATCAACCTGCCAAGTTTCACTGATACCTGCTGTAGAATTTCTGAGAAAATGTTGGAGACGGAAAAAGGACAAAACCTGAATTATAAAGTCCCCTTTTCAGGCTGCGCCTGAACGGGGACTAAAAAAAAAGTAAATTCATTGCGCCAAAAATCAGAATCCGGTGAAAGTAAACTGAGCCGGCAATTCAACTAAAAAACAGGTAAAAACGGGGCCCCTAATAGTGGATGAAATGAGTAAATTACCATACTAGAAACTATAGATAATTCTCAGTCAGAAACTCTAACCCGTCTTACGTCGTGCTTGTAATGGCGGAGCATAAAAATATAGCTGCCGTTGTAAGCGGAAACGAAAGAGCATGTTGGATCATACCTCTTATGCTTGACCACCCCGCGCGGGGCGAGGCGGGAGTGCCCTTCCGGAGAGGCCTTTTTTTCTATAAAGAATGCTACCCTAAGGTGACTGACAATGTAAGAGTAAGAATGTGTTTTCTTTTCACACATTACAAACATGTGGACGTTATGTGAAGTCACAAGTTTCAGAGAAATTTATTTCAGAATAAAACTGACCAGACTTCATAGTTAGCTCAAAAAAACAAAACAACAACTTATTTTTCAAAAAAAAGGCCAATGTTATTAGTGAGGCAATAATTACTGGGTACCACATATTTTCAAAATGAGGTTCAACACCATTAACAATGTATGAATGATATTAGCAATTAACCATTGTGATATGCTAACACATGTAGTCATGAAGTACCAGTACCAGTGTACCAGCTTGCCAGTACACATGGGAGGAATGTGTGTTTGTTAACTCTTACCTCCAATAACCTCATATCAGCGGGCACACGGTCACCTACCGACAGCTGTACAATATCACCTGGTACTAAATCTCGTCCTAATGTAACTTCTACTCGGCTATTTCGTAAACTGTAGTATCAAAACATAGATTGCACAATCACAGTTATTTTTATTAAATTAATAACAATTGAAATAACTATGAAATATGTTTTTTTTTTCAAAAAATTATCTATTTTTTATGTCAAAATCTGTGAGTGCAGATTTTTGAAATCCTTACATATGGATTGTTAAACCTGTGATCCAAATTTTATTTTTATGAATGGATGGTAGTGATACGTGAAGAAAGGTTTGAGAGCTAAAATAACTAAAGAACCATCTGTCACAGTGTCATTGTGACGCTAATATTTTTTTATGATCACCAATTCAATCCAGGTCATCAGAAAACATGACATTAATATTATAATCAGTATAAAGTGTTTCAACTCAGTTCATTATTAATTATGTCAAATGGTTGTAAGTAATGTGATATTGAGCTTATAAAGAACCACTTTAATTATCATGTAAATTAGACACAAGACTAAACACTGACACAGAGTACATTGCCATACAACTGTTTGCTAGGAGACTATATAACTCCATATGGTACTCTCTTTGTCTTTCATTTGCTTTGATGAATTGTCTAGAATCCTGATTAATATTTGCAATTCAATTGAATTTTTATCAAGGAGAGTTACCAATTCTGGGGGAAAAAATGTTCACTATACAAAATGTATCATCATACACCCAACAGAACCAAACTTCTACAATTCACCTTTACATTTAACAATTGTTCTCGGTTTTAATATTGATTATAGATAAATAAAATAAAGTACAGCAAGGTTAAACATCATACTTACCAGTGACAGGTATGTGGAACTAATTTTGTCAAAGCTTCTAAAGATTTTTCTGATCTATATTCCTAAATTAACATAAATAGAAACACCAGTTTCTACTTGTATTTGGTTGACGGTTGAATAATAAGTATTAGAAAATTTTGATTCACTATTTTGTACATTTTTATTTTTTTTTAATTTAAACAAATATTCAAGCTGACTTGCATGTTTATCAGTAAATCATAATATATGCAAGAAGTTATTTAGTATAGACAGAAGCCATAATGTATGATGGCCCACAAGTGACAACATGTACATGTATTTAATTCATCATGGCGAAACTTCATTATTTGACGAACAAACACTATTACTTCAAGGCAAAACTCTATTATTGCACGGCAAAACTTGTGGGCTACCGTAATAATAACACACATGTTTTTTGACTAAGCTAACAAGGTACAAACAAAATCAATTCACTTGCATTGAAAAGCCATGACAGAGATAAAATAAAATGTATAAATTACCTGTACAAAAGCCACTGTAACAACAATGATAATTGCCTGGTCAAAAAAAAAAGAAAAAGAAATTATTGGTAGGAATGAAATATTTCTGAACTGATACAGAGGGGTTTGTTGATTAGAAATACTGGCAGCCACAGTGAACATTTCATTGGGGTCCTGAAGACACTGACAGTCACAGTGAACATTTCACTGGGGTCCACGAGACACTGATAGTCACAGTGAACATTTCATTGTGGTTCTCAAGACACTA